TGAAGACTCCAGGGTCTTCATAGTCTATGAAGACTTCTAACATGAAGACTCCAGGGAGTTTGATGGACCACAAAACTGACATTGGGACCATGGAATTCCCACTCTGACCTCATCCAAAGGCCAGAGATAGCACAGACATGTAATCATCAATTAAGTTGTCAATTAAGTGGTGACATTTGCTAATAAAAGTGGGCAATTTAATTAGTGTTTAACATAACTTGGCTATTTAGCATTGATGTTTCTCTTGTGACTCATTACTATTAGCATTAGACAGGACTGGGAGGTTGCAGGAGATAAAGCTATTGGATGGCAACAGGATTAACAATGAAGCAGTGCGCCGCTTATATACCACTCCATAGTGCTAAAGCACCCTCTGGGCGGTTTGCAACATAACTAGGCAGGCTACATATTGCCCCTCTCCGTCAGCAAGCTGGTACTCAATTTACCAATCTTGGAAGGATAAAAAGATGAGTCAGCCTTTAGCCTGTTACCTGAATCTGTCACCATCGTACTCAGGTCATGACTAGAGTCTTGGCTGCAGTCCTGCAATTTAACCACTGTGCCATGAGATTCCAAGGAACTTAATAATAAAAGTTTGGTCCACCCAACCCCCCACCCCACCCCTGGCCTTCTGGAACAGTGCCAAATTGGTTCACGCAGTCCCTTGAGGATTTTATAGGTTTGTTGTCTCAAAATATTCTTTCTTATTTGGAAACATTGCATGCTGGATAGCTGCATGGGTTGGGTGTGGTTGGTAGCTTGATTCTTTGCTATCCCTCCCAAGAGAGGAGCTAGGCTGTGCTGTCTTTGTCCCACAGCACTCCAAGTAAAACCCTTCTGTAGTCTATAGTAAGAAAAACCCCAAAACAGGCACCATAAGTTGGCATCAACTTGATGGCACTTGTTTATTATTTGTAAAATTGATAAGAATACATAATGCTAAAACCAGATATTTCTCTATAAGTATACACTTTGTGGTATACACTTTGTGGACTTCAGAAACCTGCAGAAATATGTGAAACACATGTGAAGCAAAGATTACAAAAAGTTTTTAAAAGACCAAAATGCAAGAGAAAGAAAAGAAATACTGTTAGAAAATTATTTCAGACAACACTATTCTCTACTTTGCAGAATATTTTTCATCTCAAATACACGTTCATCCAAACCATCTGAGATGCTAAACTTTAGTTCAACAAACTCGAGAATAATTTTGGTTTTACCAAAGCTGGTGTCCCTAGGCACTGAAATATGTTTTACTTAAATATATTGACATATGTTAAACTTACAACAAAAAAAGAAGAAATCCCCACAAACCTGAGATATTAAGACATAAGACAGATAGTTAGGGCCTAAGAAACCGAAATGCACTACAAATGTCATTCTGAAATGCATTCATTGGATGTAAATAAAATATGGTTATAGTAGACTGGGCTTTGGGAAATGCAAGGTTTAGGGTCAGGTTCCACAGAGCAATGAAACTGACAGAGTGACATTAGGCCAGTTCCTAAGGGCCTACATCATAGGAGTAGAAATTCTGTCACAAACATATATTGATTTATGAATCACAAAACACACAGAGCGAAGCAAAACAGGTGTGGCATAACCAATCCATCCATAGACTGTATTTCTTCAAGCATCTTGGGTCTAATATCAATTATAACATTTTAAAAGTTTTCAAGATTTATAACAACAAAAAGAAAGGGATGTTCCCATTTAAACATATTTCCCGAAGGTCTACATTGGATATATCAGGAAACATGCTGGAATTTGTTGTTATTGTTTAGTCGCTAAGTCGTGTCCGACTCTTCGTGATCCCATGGACCAGAGCACGCCAGGCCCTCCTGTCTTCCATTGCCTCCCAGAGTTGGGTCAATTTCACGTTGGTAGCTTCGATGATACTGTTGGAATTGGGTGCCTTGAACTGAACCCTTGTAGAAATTGCAGTACAGACAGGTATGGGCTGCTGTCTCTTCAACCTCAATATCGCATAGACATAATTGTTGGTCATGAGGTATGTCTTGGAAGTACTCTTCCATCAGCATTGAGGGCATAGTGTTAAGCCTTACTAAGAAAAAGGTTCTCTGGTGTTTATGGACTGTCAGTTTTCTTTTAAAAAAAGGAACACATCTATTATTAGAAAAAAAATCCTAATAGTACAGAAGAACAAGATGTATTGGATAGAGCTATCAATATCAAAGATTGTTTGCTTTCCCATAGATTTGGCTTCTCTGCTGTCATACCTGCTGAGTTAAGGCCCAGTGAGGAACACTTCTGAGTCATAGCTTTTTTCAAAGTGGGGACATGTGAATCACTCATTGTCAAAAAGACAGAGGAGGAAATTGATGCAGTGCCAACTTCAGCTTGTTCTTGGAGCTGGAAATGATACAGCCCTTCCTTATGCGTATCGTGGGATTATAAGGAAGAAGCTGTAGGACCAGCATCCTCAATAGAGACAAAAGATCTCTGCAGGGATCCCTCAAAAACATAGGATTTGGAAAGCCCAGAAGGAGGTGCTATGCCCTGAAGAATTACAATGGCTGAGCCAGCATTTAGACTGCATTTTTTTCTCAGAAACATTCTCAAAATGTTCCTTTCATTACTCTCTAGAATCAGAAGGCTCCTTCTGTGAAATTTGTTCTAGTATGTCTCTCTGTGTGCTTGTATGTGCATGCATGCACATCACCACCATCACAATATTCTAGATAGACAGCACCTGGAGGAAGCAGAAATGGAGAACATATTGCCAGCAAGTCCTTTGGGAGAAATAAAGGACAAAGATGTGCTACCAGCTACAGCTCTTCTTGAGCCCCAACTCTGAGAAACTGTTGGTGAATTTCCCCTTTCCCTGGACAATTTCCACCATAATTTCTCTTTCCACAAATAAGGTGGGAAATTTTGAAATGTCGGAAGTGCACAGCTATTCAAATACATGCTTCAAACAACCAAAGAGATGACTGTACACGTGGATAGAAACCAAATAAACTATGCAATTAGAAGCAGCAGATGGAGGAGCTGTGTTCTCTCTGCCAGAATAAGACCAGGAGCAGATTGTGGTACTAATCATGAACTGTCAATAGCCAACATTAGAGTAAAGCTGAAAAAGAACACTAAGAGAACAGTAGTGCCAAAATATAATTCGAACAACATTTCTGATGAATTTAAATTTAAGAAACAGGTTTGCATTACTAAATTCAATTGTTGTTAACTAGAAGAGTTATGGATAGAAACTAGAGGTATTATTATGGAATATTGAAGAAAGGAGAAGTTAAAATTAGTGGAAGAAATATCAGTACTTGAAAATATGCAGATGACACCATCTTACTGGCAAGAAGCAGCAATGACTTGAAATGACTTTTAGTGAAAGTGAAAGAAGAAAGTGCCAAAGCAGGACTGCAGTTGAACATTAAGAAATCAAAAAAATCATGACTACAGAAGAACTACAGAATTTTAACATTGACAAGGAGGACATTAAAATAGAGATTTTGTATACCTTGGTTCAATCATCAATTCAAATGCAGCCAAGAAATCAGAAGAAGGCTGAAAGTCGGAAGAGCAGCAATGAAGGAACGAGAAAAATAATCAAGTGTAAGGATTTGTCATTGGCTACGAAGACCAAGATCACCCACTGTCTCGTATTTCTGATTGTCATGTACTGGTGTGAAAGCTGGACAGAAAATAAAGCTAACAAGAAAAAAAATCAACTTATTTAAAATTTGGTGCTGGAGGAAAATTTTGCAGATACCCTAGACTGCCAGAAACACAGACAAGTAGGTCCTAGAGCAAATCAAGCCTGAACCGTCTCTGGAGGCATAAATGTTGAAACTGAACCTGTCCTACTTTGGGCACACCATGAGAGGACAGAATTCTCTGGAAAAGACAATAATGCTGGGAAAGGTTGAAGGCAGCAGGAAAAGAGCAAGACTAAATATGAGATTGATTGACTTCCTAAAGGAAGCCACAGGCTTGAGTGTAGAAGACGTGAGCAGGGCTGTTGAAGACAGAACATTTTGGAGATACTGCATCTCATTCATAAATTTGCCATAAGTTGAAGGCAACTTGATGGCACATAACAACAGAAATAGCTTCAGTGGGGCATGGTGAGCAAAATGTTGCATTTCAGTTGGGAAGTTTAGCTTCCAATTCCTACTTAATTTTTGCAAGGAGGTGCGACCTAAACAGGCAATATTAGGAATGGACTGTCTCACTTGAGACAGATGAGGGAAGATGACATATCTGAATGCTCCCTGATAATAACACTTCCCTGAAAACAAGGCATCCACACAACTGGCAAAAGGGATGGGCTAAAATCTCTTTCCTACTTAGGGTGAGAGATGTCCTTTTTGAATGCTCTACCATGTAAAAACCTGAAGGGCAGCATTCAAAAAGAGTATCTCTGACACAGAATCTGAAGCCATCCTGCCATGTCAGCACTCACTCTTATCAACAGATCCTGGTCTCATCCTGCTGCTTGAGTGTTCCAGCCTTCCTCATTAGCACTACACAAGCCACTGTCTCTCAGCCTAATAGATTATTGTGATGATACAATGCTGCCTCCCTTGTGAGTGAGAAACATAATTAATCAAGATCCTACGTTGAAGGTTGACACTTTTCTTTCTTGGTTCTGTGCCTACGTATTTAAAAGCAGGCTGACGTTTTAAAAAGTAAGCAAGCAAAGCTTTTCCCACCTCTTTATCGCCATACCAAAGGTGTTGTTCTTGTTCTGTGCTGTCCTCTTTGACCTATGATGACCTCATGAATGAGTGACCTCCAAAATGTCCTATTATTAACAGGTGTGAGCACTCGCAAATCCAGGAAAATGCTACATATTAATGCCATAATTATCCATATTCTAGACCATAATAATCCTTCTGAATCCAAAGGCCTCTATCTTGGCCTATCAAAGTAGAATATTATTATTGTATTATCAGTATTATTATTCATAGCCTAAAATATATGACACATTTCTGGTTATTATACAACACATCTTGCTATGCTCATGCCTACAGTGGTCCCTCCAGACTTGAATCTACTAAGGCGTCCTGGGGTTCTGGGCTTAGGGAATTATCATCTGTTACTTTTTGGAGTAGCTGTTGGCATTGATCCTGTTTCTCTGCAAATTGCACTGCAGTGTGTATACTGTGGAAGGAGAGCAATTCTGTATCTTCCATTCCAGTCAACCAACCACCTGCCTGGAGTAGATGCCGGATGGATGGGTTACAATTAGCCAGCAAGACCTGGACACCAATCTTCTTATAATCCTGACGCATTTCCTTCAGGACACTAAGGCCCACACTGTCTATAAACTGCATGGCACCACAGTCAATTATTAAGGTATGCATGTCTATGGCTGGTGCAGGTATATCTGTTGAAGGCTTTATGGCTCCTCTCTTGGTGATCTTTAGACAATTCAGTTTGGAAGAAAAGCAGCTTTCATTCTTGGCCAGATTTGCATTTGCTTCGGCTTTTTGTTGCAAAGCAGCCACCAGAGAAGGATTGACTCCTGTTTTCTGGAAAAGTGAACTTTTGAAGTAGTCCTTGTTTGCGTAGTAAAGGGAGGTATCAAAGCGGAAGATCTTGATGTTCGCAACACAGTTGATTCTTTTGTAAGTGAACTGGTCCTCATAGATTTCACAGTCGTTCACTTTACCTAAAAGGGTAGCTCGGGGTCTCTGGGTACGGAAGATGATGCAGAGAAGGGAAAAGCAGACCCCTATCAGCAGCCCCAGCTCTGTAGAGATCAGTGAGGATGACAACATGGTGACCCACCAAATCACCGTGTCTATCTTGCTGATCCGCCACATCTTGGGAATGTCAGCGAATTTACGCAAGCCTCCCCTCAGATTCACAACAGTAACCACCCCCAAGATGGAAGTTTGCAAAGAATAGAAGAGAGGAGCAATCCACAGCAACACCAGGAGTAAAACCACTGAAGAGATCAAGCCTGATAGCTGGGTAAAACATCCTGTGGATTCCTTCAGCAAGGTCTTGGTCAAAGCCGCAGAAGTAGTAAAGCAGTAAAAGAAAGATGGAATCAGATTGCCCATGCCAATGGCGATCATCTCTTGGTTTGCCCGGACGGGGTAGCCGTGCTTCTTGCCAAATATTTCTGCCAGGGAGACAGTCATTGCAAAACCTATGATGGCAATAGGGATGGCATCCAGGGCCAAATTCGACACAAGGGTCAGATCTGGAACAGCAGGCTGTTTGAAACCAGTGGGAATGCTGCCACAGATTTTGGAGTTGTATCTGCTATTGAAGTTTAAGAAATGGGATAGCAGAGTAGCAGCAATGACCACCAGGAGCTCTATAGGAAAAGGGGCCTTCATTTTGTCCTTGAAGTAGTTGTTGATCTCTTTGACTGGCACAATGACGGCCAAAGCAACCAAACTGGTGACTAGGTCACAGATGTTGGTCTTGCCAATGTATCTGAAGATGTCAACCCATGTTAAGACAAGAGAGCCTATTCCGTCGTGACGTGGTATTTTAACCCCCAATAGGAGATTCATTTGGGAAGTGATGATGGTAAGAGAGGAACCAGTCACAAAGCCACTCAAGAGGGGTTCAGAGAGATAAACAGAAATGAAGCCTAGCTGCAGGACTGCCAGAAGTATCTGAAAGGAAAAGCAGGTTGTGTTATGACTCATTAACTCTAAAGACACAATGAACAAGGAGCACTACTTACTGTATATTTGAAGCACTTTGATTAAAAAATACATGAAAACAAAATTTCAAAGTGGCCTGAACTCGTAAGAATACACTTTTGATGCCAACATGTCCCAGGCCTAACTGTTCAACATTCTCACATCTCTCCAGGCTAGTCTTAGGGGACCTACACTACTAGTCTGCTTTTACAGAGGACATGCCCATTATTGCAAGTCCAATCCTCCTTTTGAAGGTGTCCTTCATTTAAGGGCTGCCCAGTCCAAGTTTGCTTTAAAGAGAAAGAACCATAAATAGGGAGGCTAGGAATCCTGAAATTTCCTATCAACAGGAAGTGTATAGACCACATACTACTTAGTATATACATTGGTCATCCTATTATTGTCTTTCCTACTTCAGTAAGGAGCTTTGTAATTTTGTTCAAATTACAAAATATATTTGTAATTTTGCATTTATGTAGTTTCATGCAACTTAGTCTCCTCAGCCCAACCCCCTTTTTGGGGTGGCAATGATGTTCTCCTTTCAAGTGATACTTAAGTGATTACCTTAGTTCTTTGTCTTCTGTTTCACCAGGAGAAAACTATCTGAGCCATTACAAGTCAGTGTTGACAATTTGAGAAAGTACTGTTGTATGTTATGTCCTGTTTTCTGCTTCCCATAGGTCTATGGTTAGACAGTGTGGGAAATAGAACGAAGGACATGTTAGGCTGTTGATATCATCTAACATGGCTATTTTTATGTTCTCCAGAATGCACTAGACATATCAGCAGCCTGACACACTATCAGACAATTTTGTATATTCTTAAGCTAGAAGGAATGGCCAGTCACCACTCATCTTTCCCAAGGCAGATTCATATAATTTTTGTTTTGTTCCCACAGGCATTCTCAAGAGGACATCCACACTGACCATTTTAACAAGATATAGCAAGTAATCTTTGTGAATATATTCCAGTCACTTTGATCTCAATAGTTGCTGTAGGTTACTGGCTGGTTCACACTTTATTGCTCAACATTTGAATCTTCTTAATGTGTGAATTGACCCTCTTGATGAGCACTGAGCTTGAGGTAATCGACATTGATATGAAAGTTCTGTCTTCTGTCTAATATTTCACTTAATCATGATTTGCCTGCCCTAAATGTCTTAAGAATTCTTAAAGGATGCTGGTGCTAATCTCAACAAGAGTAGATCCATTACTGAGAGGTAAATCAACACTTATATAAATCTTGTTGATCTGGTGGATCTACTCTGCAGAGGCCTACCAAGGGGATTCAGACTAATGTCAGTACAGCTTTGGCCTATTTAGAACGCAGATAATCAACAATGAGAAGAGAAATAAGTAGCTGAACCAGGCAAGGCACTCTGATTACCCCAGTAGGTGTCTGGCTGCAGTGAAAGTTGGGCTACAGCATCCCCTCTTCAGCTCTGATACAGAAAAGAGAAGTGTCGTGAACACTGAGAGCACATCTGTGTTCAGATTTGTTCCTATCCAGTGATCTTACCTGGTAAAGCCCAACCAAAAATGTCAAAGTAGTTGCCACTGTGATTGCATAGCAACTTTTGTCACAGGCCAGTGTCCCATTTAATGTGACATTCAAAGCTAAGTCAGCACCAGTGTCTGACTCATATCCCGCTAACCTCAGTTGCCGGTTTACCGATTCCCCGATCATCAGGCAAAGGACACCAAAAGACCCCACACAATTATGGTGTGAGGTGGCCATGGCAAAGTAGATAATAGGACAGAAGAAGTTGGTGTAGAGCCCATAGATAGGATCCTGGCTGGCTAGGAGGGCATAAGAGATCGACTGTGGGATGGCAACTATTCCAACCAGTATGCCTGAGATGACGTCTCCAAGCAGTTTGTCTTTGATACTGTAACGAGGAAGCCACTCCAATACAGGGAACAGCTTGATGAAGAAGTGAATAATACTTTGGCGGTCACATTTGCAACTCTCTTTGGCTTTCTTGAGGAACTTCTTGATGCTGAAGCCTGATGTTTCATACTCATCTAATTTGAGGGGTACATAGTAAGATGAAGGTGGTGAAGCGGAGCTCAATGTGTTACTGCTGTGCTCAGAGTTCTGAGCTGTAGTGTCAGTGTTCATGACTCCAAAGTAGCTAAAAGGAAGATAGAATATACAGTATTAACTGGAGCCCACTAGTCAGGCACAGTCGTAGATGAATTTTTATCAAGTGGGTAATGCATTGTTTAATCAGAGAGGAAGATAACATTTTCACACCCTATGTGCTACCAGAGGAATTCAGCATTCATGTTCTGACCTACAAAAACTCCTTCTACCACTCGTATAATTAGTTGAGCCGACAAAAGTCTGACTTCCTGTAACCATGAACTTGGTGCAACTTCACAAAAGTACAAAACCAGAAACATTTTAAACTGGAAAAGTAATACACCTGCTCAGCTTGCACCACTGTGAAGGGCTGTAGGATGATATGAATTTTTGGATAATCCAAAAACTGTCCTTCTGCAAGGTTGTTCAGTCTTTTGCCCAGTTTGATCCATTTTCATACCTGGCTTATAAAAATAATAATCTGGTTATTGTGTTAATATTTATTGGCCAAAATCATGTTATTCAGTGTAGTAAATGACACTAGGTAAAGGTAAAGGTTCCCCTTGACATTTTTAGTCCAGCCGTGTCTGACTCTAGGGGGCAGTGCTCATCACGTTTTCAAGCCGTAGAGCCAGCGCTTGTCTGAAGACAGTTTCCATTGCCACGTGGCCAACGTGACTAGGGAACGCCGATTTACCTTCCCACCAAAGTGGTCCCTATTTATCTACTCGCATTTGCATGCTTTCGAACTGCTAGGTTGGCGGGAGCTGGGACAAGCGGCGGGAGCTCACTCCGTCACGTGGATCCGATCTTACAACTGCTGGTCTTCTGACTGTGCAGCACAGGCTTCTGTGGTTTAGCCCACAGCGCCACCACGTCCCTTGTAAATGACACTAGTATAGTTCAATTGAGTCAATGGGAATTTAGTGAGTTCACTTCTTTGTAAATTCCACTGATTCAAGTGGGTCTACTCTAACTGTGATTTACTATGCTAAATAAATTTCAAGTACAGCTGGCCTATGTGAATCAATTGAATTCAATTTAACTTACAGCAAATGCCCATTGATTCAATTGGCTCATTCTAGTGTGATTTACTATGCTAAGCAACAGGATTTTGGCCATTAAATATTTATCCTTAAGTGGGATTGTTATAATTATTTGGAGATCTCAACTTATTTGTGAACAATATTTTAAAAATTACAGACTATGGTAAAAGAACTTGGTAGTATCATTGTGTGTTCAAGGCCTGTTGTAGCTGCTGGTGATGTTTCTGTTTTTATTTTAATTTTTGTATTAATTATTTCTGTTTCTATATATAAAGAGACACTATGTCCTTTCCAACATACAAATCATCCAGAAACTAGCATGAAAATATTACTCAATGTATTCTTATTCCATAAAACCATTTTAGCCGGAATACTGTTGGGTTTGTCCAGCATGATGCCAAGATTTCATAACTGATGCAAGCAATCATTCTGATATGTTGTCACATATCAGAATGATTACTGATATACATACCACTTCACACACTCAGTTGCATGCCTAGGTGCATGATAGATGGCTAGAAAATTCTGAAAAACCTCTTGCCTTTGTGTAGCATGTCATTAATGGACTAGAAGCACTAATGTTTGTGGAATTCTTCCATATAAGCAATCTTGGATCAAGGAGCTTCATGGATGAAGACTATTGGAAACTATATATAAAAGGTGTGAATAAATGTTACAGATAAAATGTTTACCGGCATATGGTTATATTTTTTATGGTCCTATTTACATAGGTCTAAAAATGTTTACCGGCATATGGTTATATTTTATGGTCCTATTTACGTAGGTCTAAAAGGGACGTGGTGGTACTGCGGGCTAAACCACAGAAGCCTGTGCTGCAGGGTCAGAAGACCAGCAGTCATAAGATCGAATCCATGCAACGGAGTGAGTGCCCGTCGCTTGTCCCAGCTCCCGCCAACCTAGCGGTTCAAAAGCATGCAAATGCAAGTAGATAAATAGGGACCACCTCAGTGGGAAGGTAACAGCGTTCCGTGTCTACGTCGCACTGGCCATGTGAACACGGAAGATTGTCTTTGGACAAAACGCTGGCTCTATGGCTTGGAAACGGGGATGAGCACCGCCCCCTAGAGTCAAACACAACAGGACAAAAATTGTCAAGGTGAACCTTTACCTTTACCTATACGGTAATCTTAGCGTGGTATACTGGATAGAGTGAAGGACTACCATTCTACTCGGCCACAGAAACTGACTGGGGGAGTGGAACTGATAAAACTGCTTCTTAAATATCTCACGTACCTTGAAAGCCCTTGAAAGGCAAATGCCATACTCAGTTGTGTCAACAGAAGTATAATGGCTGGAGAAAAGGAAGTAAGAGTACCATTCTACTCTGTTTTCATGACACTCTGTCTGGAATACTGTGGCCATTTCTGGGCACCACAATTTAAGAAAGAAATTTCCAAGCTGGAACATGTCCAGAGGAGAGCAAGCAGGATGACTAAAAGGTCTGCAGAATAAGCCTATGAGAACAGCTGAGGGAACTGGATGTGTATTGTCCGGAGAAGCTAAGACTGAGAGCGGCTATGATAGCTATCTTCAAATATCTGAATGGCTGTCATGTGGAACATGGCACAATCTTTTCTGCATCTCCAACGGATGAGACCAGAAGTAATGGATTCAAAATTAAAAGGAATAAGACTTTTTCTAAACATTAGGGAGAACATCTTGGCACTAAGAATTGTTCAACATTGGAAAGGACTGCTGTGGAGGAGGGTGAACTCCCCTTCATTGAACATATTTAAACAGAGTTTAGATTGCCACCTCCCATGGATGCTAGAACTGTGGAATTCTTGCTTTGGCAATGGGTATGACTTGATGATTCTTGAGTTCCCTTCCGTGGAATTCTTGCTTTGGCAATGGGTATGATGATTCTTGAGTTCCCTTCAAGTTCTGCAGTCTTACGATTGCGTGATTCTACTGAATAAAACTAGCAAGTGTATCTGTAGTCAAATTGTCCATGATTGAAGAGAAAATGGTTAGACTATTCACCCTTCCTTTTTCTTAGGTATGTAGCAGATTCTAACTAGTGTTTATACCAATAATAGATTTGATGTTTTGCTTTCCATCACAATGTAAACAAAAGACATTTAAAATTGGGGCTTCTGCTCATATTGCATGTTATTGAATACAAAATATTGGCTGAAAGCCAGTAGTAAGTCACATTTGGAGTAGTCTGTTGAATCAGTGGGATTTACAAAAGTATTGACTTACCAAATCCCCACTGATTCAATGGGCCAATACTAATTGCAACTAATTACTGTACTGGATTTCAGCCAGTGTAAGCCTACTCTTCTAAGTAGAAGGAGTGCAGCCACATGGTGATGATTGCACTCATGTAATTTTCCCATTGTTCCCAACATCTCAAAGATGAAAGCATGTCAGGCAAAATCCAAAGGAACAAAACCAAACAAAAGACAAAAACACGTGTCACGTTAAAGACGAACCATTATATTTTAATGTAAGCTTTTGTGGACATGTCCACTTTGTCAGCTTCGAAAGCTTACATTAAAATATAATGGTTAGTCTTTAAGGTGCCACATGTTCTTGTCTTTGTATTATTTTGTTTCTTTGGATTTTGCCTGATATGCTTGCATAGTTAACAGGGCTACCTCTTCTAGAACTACAGCAAAGATGGAAGCACACACCTTTCTGTGGCTAAAAGAAAGCCTTTCACCATGAGAATGATGAGCGCATGAACACACATTATAGAAGTGTGTTACGCTACAGTATGTACGTTGAATTAATCTGCTCTGCGACAACACTTCCTTTTGAAGAAGAAACTGTTAGCACCAGTTCTATTTACTCCCAAACAGTCATGCACATTCACAAACCATCATGACTGTGTCCCCAGGAGCATCCACAGGTGTTTTTCCAGGAACAGGGGGCAAATGGGCCCAGTGGCAAACTAGCAAAAGGCATGCACTTAGCATACTCTAGTACTATACACTGCCTTTGTTGGTGTACATTAAATCAAGGATTCTGGAGACAAGTCCCTTCTCACAACCATGCATGTCTGCACAGACAGTTAAGGAGAAGGTAGGATGAAATATATCCCCTCTTAAAGCACACAGCACTGCATTTATATAGATGTATACACTAGAACAAAAAACATGAGTTACCCTCTCTTGGTGACTTATTTTCAGTCAGCGCACTGGGATGTGTGCATCAAGGAAGACTCTCCAGTTGCAATGATGATGCTCCATTCCCTGGCATGACCCACCATTTATCTTCCCAGTACCCTCACTATTCCTTTGTCTTTTTGATGCATCAGCATTGCACTACCACAACACACCTTCACCCCAAATGGGTGAGCCCTGACACCAGCCAGGAACATGTAGAAATGGAGGACCAGGCTTTAAAGAAAAATCACATTCCAGTAGCATTCACCACCTGGAAATCTGAAAAAAAATGTTATTTCTCAGGGACTTTAGCTGATACCTTCAGATATGGCAACCCTATATCCAAGCATAGTAAGATTTTTGTTTCATAACTCCAAGGGGCTGAACCTGGAAGTCCTCTTAATGTTCTGTGTGCATACTTCATACAACTCCTATAAGATATCCCAAACACCTCTTCCTAAGACAAACATGAGGACTTTTGTTTACCAGTTTATAAATATGGCGGATTGTAATGTCTACCTTTGTTCTGAGATGCAAGTGTAGCCTACTACAGCTTTTCCCAATCTAGCCATCCCCAGATATGTTTAATGCCTATTACCCCCCCCCCAAAGAGAACAGCTGTGATGGTTGAGTGATGAGAGCTATGGTCAGATACACCTGAACAATGCTGGCTTGGGAAAGGATGACCAGGAGCCTCCGAGCCACCTCTTACAAGTCATCTTGCCCTGGAGGAAAAGAAATCACAGCAAAAAAATAAATAAAAGTCTAAAGTATCATGCTACAAACCTGTGATGTTCACCACTTTCTTCTCTTGAACTGTTTCCCAGGCCAATACAAGAAGACAACTAGCTTTCGATCTAATCCACTGAGCCTTTTATCTATGGCTGCATTTTAGCAACGTTCTGACTAGCCACTCACCTACATACAGTATTTTGAAAACAAACATGGCTTAAGTAGAGTAGTTTTGTGAAAACCTCTCCTACCCACTAATTTAGATTTTAAAAGTTTAAACAAAAAGCAGGGGTGGACAATCTCCAGGACTTGTTTGCTAAACAAAGGAGAGTTTCTGGTGCTCGTCTTCCTGCTCCCTCTTCTGAACTCTATATTGTCCTTTCGTTACCTTTGGGGGGGGCAGATGAAGGTGAATTGATCATGTGGTCCTACAAACCAGAAGATGCACTGAAACTATCCAGAAATGTGTGGAGTTTGAAAATAAGACATACCCTTGTAAGGGTGTACACATAAAGAATTCTGTTGGCTAGGACAGGAAAAGGGATTCTCGTGTCTGTCAACAGTTGATTGCACGCGACTTCAAAATCTGAGCACCACTCTTTCATGCATTGCTCCCAAAAAATTACATGGAGCAATTTATAAATTCAATAAAGATTAACCTTTTCTCAATGTTGTGGGGAGCAAAGAAGGAAACTTTTCATTAGCAGAGAAGCAGCAGAAGGAACCCCATACCCTTTTTTCCATTCCAAATTCCTATTCCACCAGTTTTGTGCATAAATGTACCTATGTTCCTTCCTCTTCTCTGGAGAGCAGAAACATGCAAAAAATGGAAATATTATGGGCAGCAGAAGGGGGTCTTCAGGGAGAAGAATACTCTTACTAAGACAGGAGTTTCAGAAGCTTTTTTACTACGAGTTATTTGAAAGCTCACATTATAACAGGACAGGGAATATTTCCTCGACCACACGCTGAACACATCTGGAAGATTTCCCACTGCTCTTGAGAGTGCTGGGATCAAGGCAACCTCGCCCACTTGTCATGCAGGGGGAGAAGTGCTACTAGAGCTGCAAAAAACTGCACTACCGGCCAACCAGTGCTGAGGTGGGACATCTGCCTGGCTTTGGCTGGGAACTGACACTGTTCCTCCCTTAGGGGCAGCTCAATTAACAAGGTTTTACCACATACTGAACCCCAACTAAGTGCTGTGAAACAACCTCTATCTCTCTTTTTTTGAAAATGTACTTGTGGCCAAAGTCTAATCCATGTAGAGGATGTGTGGTGATTATATGAGTAAATGATCTCAAAGGGACACCACACAAGGGAAAATCGCAGAAGCTGACTCCTTTTTTCATTAGTTAACCACTTCTCACCTAAACACAAAGCAAATGTCAGGACTTTTTTTTCCCACAAGTTTGAATGGTAGTGAACACAATCCTGTAGATCTTCTTGATTGCTGCCCTCAGTGTTGTCAACATTCAGGCTGCCCTTCCATCTGGCATGATATTGTGCAGCAATATTGGACCACTTGCTGGCATTTTGAATTATGGATAGAGACATATGGTGCCTCACAATCATAAAAGGGGGAGTATTACTGAAGAAATGAATTTAGTTACTTTGAAAGTTATCACTTGGTCTCTAGATTCCCCTGTAAAGGTTTGCTCCTGCTACACAGAGTTTACATTTCAGAGTATATGAGACAGATGTTATTATATAACACAGTATACATGAAATAAATGTATAGACACTGGTGATACAAATGCACCAACTGGACATGCCCCAGATCCACTCCTCATGTATACTTCTCCCACTCAGGGGAGAAATTCTGCCAAATTGCCTCCTTGAATGTGTTTACACAAGGGTACCCTTCTTGTTTATTAGGTGCAATAACCAGAAAAGGAGAACAGCAAAACACACACCTTGTTAGATAACAAACTTTGCAGTTACGGGAGATGGTGAAACTTGTTTTTCATTAGCATTATTGTGAAACTTATGCAATGGCAAACATTTCTGAGTTAGAAAACACTGTGATTTTTCAGGTATTTGCAGTAAGTGATTCCATCTGGGCTTTGATGACAGATTCAATCACTCCCCGACCCATGCCACCTTCCTGGGGCAATTGGGAACCGACTGTGATGATGGGGGCATAAAACAGACAACAGGCTGCATTTGCCCATTACCTGCCCTACTCGACAAACCAAGTATTTGAGAACCATTCATATGCAGGAGATGCCCAGCCTTGCCTGCTTCTGGCCCTGAAAGATTGCTGTTGCCAGTCCTGCACTTTCAGTGGCTTCTCTGATGTTCTTCATTGTGATCTCTGTCTCTCTCTCCTTTTTTTTACTTCAATGTTATGATAGACCTTTTTCTCCTTGACAAAAACTGTTTTTTTTAACACACAAGTAATCTCCAACCAAGACCTCTCTGGATTCTTCCCACTGCCTCACCTTGGGCTACTCATAACTGTCCTGAAGTTTCCTGCCCAAATCTTCCTCCTTTCTCACTGTTTTATTCATGTCTCACCCCTCCTTAAATTCTTAAACTGGCTTCCTATCCCCCTCCTTCCTGGATGTAACACAACCGGCTTGTTCTCACTCTCTATGGCCTTCTCCTCCCTGCACAATCTCACCACCTTTATATCTTGACACATCTGTGGCAGTGATCTTCTCTGGCTCTACACCTGTCTTCCACCTTCTGGACATTTGTTCCCTTCAAAGACTCCCTCGTTCACTTCCCTCTTGTAGTCCTGTATGTCTCTGAATTGCCTCCTAGGACACCTGTTGGATACCACTTCTCCCATGCCCACCTTTATTTGATATTGTAAACAAACAATTGCATGTTGCTTCCCCTTCCAATTCTGCCTTCCTTTCTCTATTGTTTCTTTCAAAAGAATTTTAGTTTGCAAACAGCTTGGAGGGGGGGGATCTGTCCATTCCACACACACACATGCCAGAGCAGACCAAGAACCGGGTTCCTAACTGGAACAATTGATCAGCAAACATGTTTCATCAAAGGCCTCCAGTGGGTGACCTTCTTAGGTGTCCAGTTTTCTCCACTAGGGTTGCCAGGTCAGCAACATCACAGGGTGAGACCTCAGAAGCCGATCTCCATGATGTCATAGAGGCAGAGCAGACAAGGATTGGGAGAGAGACGGAACTTCTTCTAGCCCAGGTGATGTAGAAAAAGGGACACGGAAAATGTTGGTAAAAGGTTCTGAAACTAGGTAAAATGCAGCTAACCAGTAATATCACAATCCTGAGCTGGGAAGATACACACAAAAATATGCACCAACAAGAAATACACAGTAGCTGCAGCAGCTGCCACCATTCCCACTGAGGTTTGCATCCTTGCAGCCTACAACATATTTGACATACAGGCTGCTGTGGTTCATGGAAGGCTCTTTGACAGTACACAAGGAGACTTATTTTCAGGTAATGCAGTGCTACTGCTGGGATGTGTGCAACAAGGAGGACTCCCCAGCTGGAATGACGATGCTCCATTCCCTGGCATGACCATCTATCTTCCCAGTCCCTGAACCATTCTCCTGTCTTTTTGATGCATCAGCATTGCACAAAGTAGGGTTACGTACCTGTAACCTTGGTTCTTCAAGTGGAACTCTGTGAATTCATACTAATGGGTTAACTGGGCCTGCGCAGGAACTTCGGAACCTTCTAGAGCTATTACATAATATTAAAACCAGTCCCCGCACTGTCTTTTTGATGCATCAGCATTGCACAACCACAACACACCTTCACACTGGCCAGGAACATGTAGAAATGGATGGCCAGGCTGTAAATACGCTCCAGAAAGAAAAATCACATCTTTTTCTCTCTTCCAGTAGCACTTTCCACCTGGTGACCTGGAAAAACCTTAACATTTTCCTGGGACTTCAGCTGATATCTTCACGTATGGCAACCCTATATCCAAGTATAGCAAGATTTCCATTTTGTAAGTCAGGCTCAGGCTGAAGAGCTTTTGGCATGTGGAAACTGTTGACACATTTTATGAATCACTCCCTAATATGTACAATAAGAAGTACAGTACTTTAAAAAGAGAGAGGGAACTTTCACACAGTTTAAGTTTGATTCAGGCAAGCATATGCAAAGCAAAGGTCACCTGGATTGTCTATCATCAACGAAATGTTTGTTTTGAGAGCTGGCTTCTAAAATAGATCTGTATTGCTAGCACAAACTTGTTGAATGGTGTGGGCTTCCGTTTGGAACAGGTTCAGGCAGCAAAGAACCCAGTACCAACTAGAGCAATGTAAAGATTGCACAGATGGCAAATTTCAGTTAGAGAGAGTTATGTTTAGAAGAAGCAAGTAGAACACCCCACTCACATGTTTTGCTCTGTCTCTGGGTGTTGATGAGGACCATGGAACATCAACAGCCTGAGATAGCAGGAGGTGGGTGGGCACAGGGAGAAGTATACATGCACTGCTGTCCCAGCACCCATTTTTCCATTAGTTTAGCCCTCATACACTGTCCACCGAACAACAGCAATTTCCCAATGGGATCCACACTCTACCGTAAAACAATCCGTCACTTTTGAATTCATTGAGATGTTCCTCATTCTGTTTGTTTATTTATTTGGTATTTCAACTTGTATACTCTCCCATAGCACATGCACTCCATGGGTGGTTCACAACATGTTAAAATCACATACAATAAGAAAAACAAAAAAAAATACTGTTCAATAGAACCCATGAAATAAATTACCCCCTCTCCCTAGTAAAAACTTGTCTTCAAACAGAATTAAACAAATTAAACACCTTGGGTCCTTTTAAAGCAGAAATGTGGAGTAAAAATTGATGAATGAATGATTTGCTTAGCTTACCAGTACAAAAATTGTTTTTGTTGTAGCTGCTGGCCCCTCCCCACACTCACAACAGACACAGAAGTCACTGGGATTTCCTTAGATGTTCCCTGTGTTGCAAATCAGCTGCCTGCAGTCTGTAGAAAGCAGGCAAGTATTTCCTGTTGCTGACTCCAAGCACTGAGCTGAATTATGTGTTCAGAGAAACAAGACACATTTATTTAAAAGAGGACAGTCAAGAAACCTTTACCTTTCCCATGCAAAGTCACTAAAAATTAC